ACATTGGAATATGAGACGTGGACCATGTAATAATCACGCATAATTGTACAAATTCTATACAAAATAAGTGATCTACATCACTACTCCAAACTACCAACAACAAGAAAAAGACTTAAGAAAATGGCCGAAAACGAAAACCCAATTCGTTTTGGAATCATGGGGTGCGCCGAGATCGCTAGAAAAGTCTCTCGAGCGATCCACATATCCCCCAACGCCGCCGTAGTCGCCGTCGCCAGCCGCTCCGCCGACAAGGCCAAACAATTCGCCGTGCAGAATAAATTGTCGCCGAACGTGAATCTTTATGGAAGCTACAAGGAATTGCTGGACGACCCACTTGTCGATGCGGTGTACATGCCATTGCCGACCAGTCTGCACGTGAAATGGGCGGTGATGGCAGCTCAAAAGGGCAAGCATTTGCTGCTGGAGAAACCCACCGCCGTTGACGTCAAGGTGTTCGATGAAATGCTTGACTCGTGCGAGGCTAATGGGGTGCAGTTCATGGATGCCAGCATGTGGTACCATCACCCCAGGACTGGAAAGATGAAGGAATTGTTGTCGGATCCCGAGCTTTTCGGACGCGTTCGAGCCGTAAGTTTGCTTCTTGAATCACTTGATCGATCCTTGTTTGTTGTTGTCTTCTTGTAATCGTGAAATTCTAACCGGTTGTTGATTAGTGTCGACTCGATTTATGTAATGATGTTTCGGAGACTACTCGAATCAGGGTGTCGAGCGTAAAGATTCCAGTTGTTGATTCGAGCCGTCATTTCACGTGCTAAAGAAATGATTGTTAGAAACCACGATGGAATTTACGATCGTATCGGTGAAAAAACGAAATCGATATAGTTAAAAGTCTTATAGAATCGACTGCATTGACTGTACCGCAGGCCGAAGCGTTAGAAACCAATATGTAGAGAAGAAGATCGAGATATCTAGTTGTTACGTCTTTCCTTCGTTTTCTTTTTCTTTCTAATTCTGTTCTAATGGGCAATATTTTCGATGTAATTCAGATCCACAGTTCTTCATCGTACTACGGAGGACCACAATTTCTCGAGAACAATATTCGAGTAAAACCAGAGCTCGATTCTTTAGGTGCACTAGGCGACGCAGGGTGGTACTGCATAGGCGCAATAATGTGGACTATGAACCAAAAACTCCCGACAACCGTAACCGCTATCCCCACTACCGTACTCAACTCGTCGGGGGTCATACTAACATGCACCGCTTCTCTACATTGGACGGCCGAAGAAGAAGAAGAACAAACTGTCGCGACGTTCTACTGTTCGTTCATCGCTCACGAGACCATGGGTTTATCGGTATGCGGTTCGAAAGGGACTCTCTTTGTCGAAGATTTCATTATCCCGTTTGAAGAGAGTTGTGCCGGTTTTCGTTTTAGTTCGGGTGCTAAGTTTGTCGATATGCACGTCGGTTGGAATTCGAAGCCTCGAGAAATCGAAGTGGCGAATGAGTTTCCGCAAGAGGCTATGATGATTGGGGAGTTTTCGAGGCTTGTGAAAGGGGTTAGAGATCGAGGGCTTCGACCGGATTCTACGTGGGCCCGGACTAGTAGGGTTACTCAGGTGGTGATGGATGCTGTGAAGAGTTCGATCGATGGTGGTTATAAAGCTGTTTATCTGTAAGTACTTATTTGCTTATAACTTTTGTTTTCGACTTTTCGTTAGCAAAGTGATTAAAGACGGTGGTTAATCATAACGAGGCCTGAAATTGTACGATTTCGAATCGGATCCGACTAAAAGTGTGTGAATTTATGTAGCTATACGTACAGTAGTCAATTCTTGTATTGCTGATGAGTAAACAAACGAGGCCTATTGATAAAACAGAGATTAACCGAAAAATAAATAAAAAAGAAAAAAAAACGAAGCGAATATTTACATCACAAAGTCGATTGTGCAAAATCCCACAAACGCTAAAACTAATAAACACGTTCGAAATCGTACCAAGTTCTTTCGTCAAAGTCTAAGCGTGAGATCCGGAGTAGAATCTCTCTCCAATACCGGAATATTCTCCGCAAACATCGGACGGGATGCCACGTCAGCACGATGAAAACTACCCGGCCACAACGGTTGATCACTACTATTATCTTCATGCTCCACATACACGGGCCGACACATATAACCGTTCATAAATCTTGCACTAATTTCTGGCGACATAATCGGAGGCGCGAATCCTCGGTGCACCGAAGAGTGTGACCTAATTCCCAAGCACTTGAGCCCCGATCCATGCGGAGGCAGAGAAGCCGCCGCACCGGTGCTGTATACACCCATTCTCAAAGCCCGTTTCGCAAGTGTTCTTTCCCGTTTGTGCGCGTTTTGGTGGCCCCCGAGCGCCTGCGAGCTGAAGAATTTTCGGTGACAGAAATTGCACGAAAATGATCTCGGCGTGGCTGTGACTATAACTGTAGCAGCCGGGTGCACGGGTTCGTTGGTGCTATCGCTCGAGCTGGATATCGAAAACCCTAGAGATGATGACTCTTCGCGGTGGTTCGGTTCGAAGCTTAGAGATAAGTTGAGGGGGATTAATGAGTGTGGGTTATTCTTCTTGGGAGAGTAATCCACTATTTGGGTACCGAAATCGGAATCGTTTTCCGAGGTGGGCCCCAGTTCGAGATCGAAGAGTTTCGAGGTTTTCATGTTGTGAAGTTGTGGGTCATTTATTATTGAGAGGTCCCTGCATCATAGTTGCTTGCTGGGATCAATTTTCTTTCTTGAAGGCTCAAATTATACATTTTCTTGATATTTCACCAATTAAAAAAAAAGAAAAAAAGAAAAAAAAACACATTGACATGTGAATCATGGCTGTAATAAAGAACACCAATGCAGAAAGTTTACTCACCACAGAATTTGTAGAAATCCAATAATCTTTCTCTGTCTGAACAAAACTATGGTGTTTTTTTTTTTTTTTCTTGTTTGTGAAACACAATGAAAACACTAGAGAAAATGATGAGAGAGAGAGTTCTAGAGAGAGAGAGAGAGAGAGAGAGTTGTTGTTTAATAATGGGAAAAGAAAAGAGATGTAAGAGGAGAGAATGGTGGTGGGGGAGCCAGATTAGTCAGGGAAAATAATAAAAGAAGAAAGGTGGTGTTGGCTCTCTGTTTGTATCAGAGTTTAGATGCTACACCGATTTGTGATTATGTATACATTTACGATCCAAATCCAGCAAGTGTAAATAACCAGGTGTAGCATCTAGTTTTCTTCATTTGTACGTATAGCTCATAGCATTTTCATATATATATATATATATATATATATATATATTCAATTATTATTGTGAATTTTGCATTGCATATTATATTACTCCATTTGTTCCCTTTTAATAGTCGTTTTTAGCTTTGCACGCGAATTAATGATTTCATTAAATGTCTCCTGATTTTATAGAAAATATATATTTTTAGACTAAATGACCGTATGTTATAATTAATGAAAGAGGGAAATGAATTAAAAAATAGTATTAGAAAGAGTTGATAAGGGTATAATCTGGAAATTAAATAATTAATATAGTATTGGAAATCTAAATAGACGTATAATATGGAACAAAATATGTTTAAAAAGAGACAATTATTATAGAACATAGGGGTTTTTTTATAAACCAATTCATATTATATTACTAATTTACTACCCATTAAATAATTGTTGTTTTGGAGAGAATTTATGTATTTATTTTATTATTATTTATCGCTTTAAAATTGTAATTATGTTTTAATTGCGCAATTCTTAATTTTACCCTTATCATCCTTCGTTAACTTCAAATATTATTTTCCACCCACACAATATCAAATATTTTCGAACAAAGGGAGTGTATTAATGGCTTCAAAATATTCAGAGAGGCAGAAAGAGAGAAAATTCAAAACTATTATTTAATGAAAATAAACTTAAACACTTCTTTTTGTAATTACTATATAAAATTTAAATGAAAATTGAACATAGCTTGTGTCGATTTGCTTACATCTCTCCAAATGAGCATGAAGAATGATTGTTATACATTATTACAATTAAAAATAATACTTATATATATATATATATATATATATATATATATATATATATATATATATATATATATATATATATATATATATATATCCAAATTGAAAATTTGAAAGATAAGGAAAAGTGAGAAAGAAGTGATGTGAGTGTGAAGAGTCGTTTGTCAATGTTTGCAATAAGAAACTATTAATGCTGCTTCAGATGCAAACATATATACCCACTATTTATCCTCTTCATATTATTATTATTAGGGTAAATTACAAACACCCTCCTGAGGTATGGTCAAATTACGAAAATACCCCTCTTGTTTGGATAATTACAACCACCCCCTCGGCTCCTTAAATTTAGTGGAATCTTCGAGATTATATGAAATATTATCACTTTTGTACCCGTTTTATACCATTCAAACTCTACATTATGAAGCAAGATGATCATAATATGTGATTTTTAGCTTGTGTATATCAGTTTGTGGTGCATCGGAAACTGTATTTTTTACACAAAACGAGTACAAACTAAAGCACATTCCACGGAATCTAGATGATTATGTTGAATTTGGCACAATAAGGGTGGAGGTGTAAGAAAAAATCATAGTTGAGGGGGGTAGATGTAATTATCCAAACAAGAGGGGGTTTTTTGTAATTTGACCATATCTTAGGGGGTGTTTGTAATTTACTCTTATTAGTATTATTATTATTATTATTATTATTATTATCATTATTATTATTATTATTATTATTATTATTATTACAATTATCTTATTCTATTTTATTATTATTTTTTAATTTTTTTTGGTTATAGGGAGCTAATAATTGTGGCTGTTGACTGCCTGACGAAAATGGCGCTTCATATAAATATATTCCCACTAGAATTAAAATATAACAATCTTTCAAAAAAAAAAAAAGGAATTAAAAAATAACAAACTCTTGTAGTACATTAAGGGTTCGTTTGGTTACGCAATAAAATGCTATTGACTAAATAGTGGGTCATTAATATGTTTAGTTGGCAATTTTCACACTTTTTTCTAACCCACTGCTAAAATCAAAGTATGTTATTAAGTGTTACTACTTTATTAAGTTAGTAGCTAAGGTCAATTTAACTGTGGGTGACTAAACAAGTAAAATACTATTTTATCCTTCAAACTACATGTTAGTTTTGTTAAATTAAAGATTTTATAGACAAATCACATGTAATACCAGAATTTAGCAGATTTAATACAAGATCTAATCTTATATACCGAACATCATACTAGCTAAATAATTAATTAGTCAGTAGGAAACTAATTCAATCTCATCTAATTACTTTTCGGATATTGGTAACCATACAAGCCTTAAGGCCTCGTTTGTTTGCTATTATTTGATTATATTTACAAAATAGTAAGAGTTGGTAAAATATTTTGTTTGGTCAGAATTCAATATTGTTCAAATCAGCTACTAAATGCTACTATTTTATAAAATTGGTAACGATCCTCCCCATGTTTAATATTGTAAAGGGTGATTAAAAATGAAAATTACCATTTTATCCTTAAAATAATAACTTAATGTTAATTACATAATAGACTTTATAACAGTTCACATATAATACCAAAATCTACCAAATTTAATACAAGCCGTAGTTTAAAGAATCAAACATATTATTAACTAAATAATTATTTAATCAGTTGAGATTTAATCCAATATAATCTAATATGATATATTAGCTTTTAACCACTAAACTAAAATATAACCTTTAAAATATGTATATTTATCTATTTATTATTAAAATATTCCTATTTGAAACAAGGTAACAATTGAGGGGGACAGAAAGTGACGTGGACGAGACTAAGAAGTTCCTAAATGAAAACGAAAAGCCACTTAACTCATTCTTGTCACTGTCACATTTGCCGACATCTTGCCTCCTTCCACGTCATCATTTACCAGCTCAAGTTTCAAAGTTGGTCAATGTTACATCCCGTGAAAACTACACTGCATGTTTCTTTACCGTTGATCTACATACACAAATACGGTGGCGTATTTTTGTGTGTATATAAATGGTAAACATCTACCCGATACATTTCACCAAATGTAACATAAGACTCTGTTTGATAGCCTGTGAATTATCTCTGAATCGGTAATTTATCTTATTCGGTCAACATTACCCTATTTAGCGTGTTTGGTATTCAGCTCTGAATTGAACCTCTCACCTCTTATTGATTCAATCAAAATTATCGGTCTTATTCGTTCAGACATATCACTGAACATATTCTAGACAAATTTATCTTCAATAAAATTTCATAAATCCAAAAATTCTTCCAAGGCTTTGTATTCAATTGATGTATGGCCTCAAGTGTGAACTCATTTATTTTCTTCTTTTATTCACCCAATATATTGACACGTAGAGATACAATGGCAAAATAAAAAAAAAAGTAAATGAAAAGGTAAAATCTTTTTTATTATTTTATGATTTTAATTGAATCAATTTATATATTGTAATTTCGTAGGATTTTGATTGAATTATTATTTATACAAGAAATATACGATTATAACATACAACTATAAGTGCATCTATTATTTTTAATTGATTAAATTCCATGATTTATTATATGATGTTTTATTCTAAGAAGAAATATTTAATGGTACTAATAATTCATCTAGTAAATTATAAATTTATATAAGGTTAATATAGTAAAATTACATTATTCAGATGCTAAGTTATCAAACAAACTTGATAGTTTAGTATTCAGCGCTCGGACAAACACTTAACTATTCAGAGTTGTTTTCATCATTCAACATTCAGTGCTTGATTCTATCAAACGTAGTCTTAGTCTTATTTTAAAAATGGTTAGTGGTAAATAAGTCCATGACAAAAACACTAAATTAGAAAGAAGACATTCCATTTTTTCGTCTTGCAAATATATCCACCTCGTTTAAACTTATTTGCTAATAAGTAAAACTCTTTCATATATACCAAAATGCCCCCAACTCCTTGAAACCCTAACGAACTCCAATTTCATGATTTGCACCCCAATTTAGCCCAATTTCACCCCTTAACCAATTTTGACCCCAATTTGACCACCGACGTTGACTTTATTTTTTTTTATTATTATTTCTTTTTACTAAAACTACTTTATTATTAATATTACTATTTTGGCCTAATACTGGCTGTGACAATAATATTGCAGTAAAAAACAATAATATTATTGTCCTAACTGTAATATTACTGCCTAAGATAGTACTATTGTTGTTAACACAGTAATACTAATGTATTAATTAATTTTATCGTCTTGGCCTGCAATGTTGTTGTCTCCGACCATAATATTATTGTCTTTGACGGTAATATTACTGTTTATTTTGGCCTTTTTTTGGACCTTTTATTTTATTTGATTTGTTGATCAATGAACGTAATAATATTACTGTCTACTATTGTAAACACAATAATGTTACTGTAATATAGTTAATACAATTGTGTTTAATATAGTTAATATGACTGTCAACCACAACAATATTACTGTTTAAGCGGGCCAAAAGATGTTGAAGAAAAAAAAAATTAAGCAAAAAAAAATCAACGCCGACGACATACGAAATTGTAGTCAAACTTGGGTTAGGGGTCAAAATTGAATAATTGGTGAAATGTGGGGTCAGAGGTTAAATTGAATTAAAAGATGAAATTGGAGCATATTAAAATATGAGGGGGTATTTTAGTCTTTTACACACATCTGGACATTATCTGGATTTTTTTGTAAAATAATTTTTTTGTCTCAACTCCTTTATGAATAAGTAGTCCGTGATTGGCTTATTTGTAATAGACCTTTAAATAAATAGGAGTAATATAACTTCAACATCTAATGCAGTGCTCAAGTGCATAATAAGTGTCGTATGATTCTAGTCAATTGTATATCCTAAGATACATGCTTATGAAGTTAATTATTTACATTTTCAAGATCTTGCAGTAAATATTGCTACTTTAATCATCTTTTTGGTTGTTGTGGAACTTCAATTTTGATGAAGCATCTTCTTTCATTTTGTATAATTCTCTTAAAGTTATCTTATAATCTAATATAAATGGTAAATAGATATCCGTGGATATCCATATATTAGTAGTAATGATTCTAGTATTTCGATTAAATTTTTTTAAATGGGTTTGATATGATT